GTTAATCTGATTCGGATGTCATCATTGCGAACTTTATTGGAAGTGGTGTTTTGGAAGACATAAATGCTTTCTTCGATCTTATTATCCTAAATATATTCGTATGTATTTTATTACTAACAACCGTTGTTTATTTTTGTTGTAAGTGAAAAATCTCGAAAATACAACACCTACCAATGGTCTTTTTATGTTTTCCCCTTAAATACATTGTTTTGATTTTAAAATTTCTTGAATAAATAACATATAAACAATTCATTGTTTAGAAGGAATGTGAACAAAATGCTTTGTTTTCATTGCTTTTTAGGGGGAAATAAATAATACATTGCGTTTCGAACTAATTTTCTAGTTTCTATTAGTTATCGAAAAATAACTTTTTTTTATTTATTTAAGGGAACTACCATTTGATTTATATGGGGGGATAGGATGAAAAATTTTGTCCTGCATTTTTTAAGTTGTTATCTCTGTCCTGCTTTTTTATTTTTCACTCTACTCTGTCCTGCCTATTTTTTATTAGTTTATCCTGATTTTTTTTTTACCGAAATTGTCATCTTGTCTTTTTTTTTTTTGTCTCATCCTGCCTTTTTTTTTACTCAAAACTACTGTCCTACTTTTTTTCAGACTCATCACTTAGACGCCAGTTTTGTACTTAAATATACGAAGACGCACACAATATATCCTTGGCCCCATTGTTTTCTATGTTAAATTTTTCAATATATAGCATATATTGGGGTTTAGGACAATATACCGTTGTTAACATATCAGAGCGTACTGGTTCCATAAACATGTACTTCTTCCTTGAGAAACAGGCAATACACAATAAATTTCCTTTCATTCATAATTTATTTTTAGATTATCAGTCAAAAGGTGTTCTACAAGGATCGACAGTCCCTTCGCTTTTCAATTGATACTTTAAATTACCAATATATACTAGTTAAAACATATTTATTTATAGTGGATTGGGAAACAAGTTATTACAACTTACATTAATCCCGTTCCACTTCACGGCTGGTGCGAGTGCAGCTTTATATTCTACATAGTTTAAAATGAAATTTTATATTGTCGGTAGGAAAACTTTCGTTTAAAATTTTTTTGACCGGGTTCGAGTTGGTGTTACATCTTACAAAGTCTTGAAGACTTATTTGCCATACACGTACATTATTTCCTCCCAAGTTGTCTAACAAACATCTCGATGTGCCCCGTGGTGGTCTTGATGTTTGTATTGTTTAGTGTGATTATCTGGGTAAATCATGACAGTAAATGTTTGATTTCTTTTAAAGATTTCTTTTCTTGATAAAACACCATGGCTTAATTTGTTCTTCAATTCACAGTTGTGTTGTGATCTCCAATTTGCAGTTGTTACTGGCCGTCTTAAAATTGCTGTGAGGTGAGAATTATTTTTCCGTGTTGAAGGTTTCGCTGTGGCTTTGAGATGAAGAACAGCAATGAAAGCACATTTCCATTGCTTTTTTTTGTGTTTTGCTGTGTGTATACATTTTGTACTGAATCGTGATTTTGTGTTATTGGTGGAAACCCCAATTACTTTCTATTCTATTACAGATTTTTTTTTCAAATTGGTAGAAAAATAAAAGATCGTCGTTAATGCTGTTTGGCTTTAATTAAAATGAGTTGATGGAGGGGTAGTGTGGGGGATTGATTTCGCCCTAGTTCTCTTTTTGTAGTACTTTTCACGAATAAAATGTTGAATACATGTATTTCTAAATTTAACTTTTATATTGTGTCAAATGACATGATACAATTCAATACTTGTAAGACCTATATATTTGGTTTTATAGAACTACCTTAAAGATAAACATTTAAACTTCAAATATGAAAATAATGAAATCTTAAATAGCGTTGTATCACTTTTAACATATTTTATTAAAACCATATTGTCTTAATTTGTTGATTGGAAATTATTACTTGTCAAAATTTATACAATATAAACAATCTATAAAGGACATCTCTAAGAATTTTTATTACCTTTATAGATCACTTATACTAGTATGATCCTTTCTTTTTTCTACGGTATTGAAAGTAATATTGCTGAATCTGTTGAAACAGACATGACAGGGATATGTCTTGCCTTCATGAGATTGTAGAAGAAAGGGGACTACAACTTCATTTCGTGTTTGGGAGGGATTCAAAAAAAATAACTTGGCTTGGGAAGAGTAGAAAATGAAAATTCTGCAACACAATATGCAGAAAACAATTGTCTACAAAAATGGAAAAAAAACCGCGTGAAAAATTATGAGTAGCAAAGGAGGAAACTTAATATTCAACCCGGATAAAATCCTCCTGATTATCCAGTTAAAAAGTAGGAGATATGGTATGATTGCCATTGAGTCAACTATCCACCAAAGTTCAAATGAAGTGGTTGTAAGGAATTATAGGCAACCGTACGGACTTCAACAATGAAAAAACATATACGGTATAGTCCCTATTAAGGGAAATTGACTACATAACATTGCATCGCATATCTGACGTAAACTCTGACATTTAAGAGATGTGATGTATTCTATAATCAAATTGATAGTTAGTAACAATTAAAAGGGGTTTATTTATGGACACAGGGATTGTTTTTTATGTTGATCAGGTAAAATATTGACATAACATTCAAATTGAGAATGGAAATTGGGCATGTGTCAAAGAGACAAAATCCCGACCAAAGAGCAGCTAGAACACTTGTGTACATCTAGAAAAATATGTATTTTTCATGATGCTAATGATTTAATAGGACCGCGTTGCAAAATATTGTGTATGATACATGTACCATGATCTACAATGCCGTTAGGCGAAATATATTTATATTTGATTTATAATTAAATTATTTAAACTTGCTAGTTTTATTATATGTATATGCCGTTATATTCAAGAAATAATGTTATAAGTCTTGAAAAGGACGGCATAAACATATAATAAAACTAGCAAGTTGCCATACAGTTGGAAAACAAGTTGCCGTACTGTAAATATGTGAACAGTAGCAAGTTGTCGTACCCTAGGCTAGATTCATTTTTACTGATATTCTTTAGAAAACGTCTTTTTGAGAGCGAATTTCAGTAAATTTGAAGTCATACTATCATAATCAAAAGATTTGTCAGGAAAAAGAATGAAAATCAGTTGAGTATTTTGCCAACGGTGGGTCGAAAGGCGATTGGCCTCGAAATTTTCTGGCACTAAGTGCACCGTTTTGGAGTATAACACAAAATCTTGTATTTGTTTGCTACTTGTTGGTATTAAAAATTTTAGCTTTATATATCAGTAAATCGTTTCAAAAGCGATTCCCTCGTCAAACCGCTAGAAATGGACTAAATTAAAGGAATTCTAGACTTGTTTTTTTATTTTTTCCTTTTTCTCCGCTTCGTTAGTACCCAATTTCCGGTGGCGATGATACACAGTGTTTACAGGTAACTTTTAATCTATGTTTCATGCTAGTTTCACACAGATCGTAAAAAGTTGGACGGCAACCTCTCTGTCCACTGTAAATGAATAAAAGGGCAATACAATTGAATGATTTGTCATTGTCGTCGGGCCATCATTTTTTTTATCAATGCAGATATATGTGATAAATTTCGGAGAAAATGATACCATTTTCCAGAATAATGTATGAAACCTTAATATCACAGGAAAAACTTAGAATTTTCACTTTTTTTCTGTTTGGGGGTAAAATTCTGAATTTCCTAAAAATTTTCCGTTTTTTAGCATAACGAGTTTTCCGTTTTCTCATTTCTCAACGATTATGCAAAATGTAGAAAAAAAACCATGAATCATTATTCGTTCAGTTTGTACCTAAATGCCACTGATTAAAGAAACCTGTATAAGCCTTTAATCAAAACCCAAATATGTGAACGCTGAAGTCCGAACGTCTTACAAAAATAGCAGAGCACAAACTTTTGTACATGTATCCAAGTGAAAATATCACAAAACACCACACAAATCCATAGTACAAATGGACGACGGCAGTTCCACGCAGTATACTTTGAAGTCAAAAATTGTACAGGTAGGAAAGCCATACGTTCATTTTCCCATGGCGAAGCCGTGTCTCTTTTCTATAGTTAATTCCTTGTCATTCATAAAAAGGAACCGACGGACGAATTAGTCCTCATTCCGCTTAACGATCGTCAAGAAAGAAACTTTATCTTAAAAGAATTAGAAGCCAAACAGCGTTATCAGGACTCTTATCAAAGAAAAATCATAACCAGGTAAATCTTTATGTTGTTTACAATTTAGAATCCAATGTTGCTTGGGAAAATTAAATATGGGCTCCACAATAATTACGATCTGGCAATTTATGCTGCCATAATATGCAAAATACCTTTAAAGTTCAAAGTTCATTTTGGCTTATTACGGGTTGTATATTTCCTTTACAAGTGGGCTATCTGTAAAGTTGTGTGCGTATCTTCGACTTCTTTATCAGGAATTTCATGGTAATATAAACGTTGATTTATCGCATTTTACGGCCAACATGTCCTCCGCGCGCGCTATCTTTACCGTTGGGCAATACACAATCAGTGATAAAGTTTTATCATTCTAGTTTTCGTATCTTTGCTCTGCTCTCGAACCATTTAGGGAAAGTTTGTGGACAATAACGCATGTTGGCTTGGAATTATTTTAGACTTCTTAACTAAGGATTTAAAACCTTTCTGTCATTTTCAAATTCAAAAAGTTTAGAAAGGGCGTGGTTATACTTTATACTTTGGAGTTTATTTCTACCATTTTTTTTTATAACAATGTTTTTTGAATCACCGAACAGGTAAGAAGGAATTATTTTTGAATCTAGTTGAAAAGATTGGTCAGTGATTAAAACAGAAAATGGACTGCAGAAAAATAATATTTGATCAGAATTTCTAATCATAAAAAAAAATAAAACCTTTTTTTAAATGCATATTTTTTTTTATGTTTCAATTTATTATTGTTTTTAATTTTTGGAAAATGGAGACAAGTAGGAGTTTCTGCTGACGTTACAGTAGCTTATGTTCTGTTCTAATTTTAACAGGTGCGCGAGTTCACAACGACAGGTGACGAGAGACCAGCATACAGGTATATGGATTTGTGACTTTGAACCGTACAAGCTAAAACAACGCCTCCTACAATCGAAGCGTTATACTTTATTTCCAAAATGACGGAAGTCGATCAAGCTTGGCAAAATAATTCACCTGAACAATATTCTGATGAGGAAGAGGATCCAGCAGCTTGCGAAGAAATAACAGTAATATCAACTCAAGAACAAGAAAATTCTCAGCCAAGTGAAGATACGCATCATCACTTTTCAAGTGGTTCAGAGTCCACGGACATCAGGTCAAATTCTAATGTGGAACTCTACACGACGAACGGAGTGACTCCCCTCTGCCAAGTTGTCATACAATCGGCTGAATCTGTTGCTGAGACAGCACAAGCCGTGGAAAGTATAAGTCAAGAGATCTCCAGTGAGGACCCAGATGACAATACACACAGTAATGTGACCTACACAGAGTACAATATACAAGCACCCGGCACTCTGACACAATTAACACCGGTGCCAGCGTTTGAAACTGCCACGGGGCATTTATTACCTAAAGAAGACGTGGAAGCATTTTTTAGCAACATGGACCGACCAACTGCAACTTCTGTGACATTAACCACGCCCAATTATGCTGGCACGGGAAGTGGTGAGTTTACGACTCTGACACCCGCCCAGTCATTATACCAAAATCTATTATCGAGTCAGCATCAGATCACAGATAACAACACTGCCTACAACATGACAGCATTGTATCCCAACCCCCGGGCATTACAGATGCAGTACGGGGTAACCACTACAGGATGGAATTTATCTGCCACGGGTGATGCTCTATACAGCTCCCCGTCATCCAGTCCCTCCGCCGGTAAATACAACAACTTTTCCATGACAAATGATCCAGGGTCTCCGTCCAGTGGCCGAAGTGATAATTCTGTTGACACACCTTACAGCAGACCACCAATGTATACTAACTTTATGACGCAAGATGGAGTTCCTGGGTACAACTATACAATTCCATATGGCTCTCAGGGTAAGTCATTTCTGTTCATACTATTAGTGCATGCTTCCCCGAAAGTTTAACAATTCTTTCTGCGCAGAAAAAATCCGAATAATTTACATTTTTTTCGTATATCTTATTTTATATGTATATATTTTTTATGTATGTAATTTTATTTTTTCAAAATTATTTATCTCCTTTTTTAGTCATTTTGTATGATAATTTAGTCGTTACTTTAGCTGGTCATATATATTTGTTATTATGTGAATAAAGTGATGTCAAAAAACAACAATTTCTCTGCAAACAGCAATAAGAACATATTGCATGCCTGTTTTGTGTATGTTATTTGAACATAGTACTCATGTTTGTGTTAAACTAGCTTGACATTTTGTTTTTTAATAAAATGTAATATTAATTATTCCGTAGATGTATAAAGCCATCTTGATCATCACTATTAATCATAATTATACATAGTTAACATAATAAGATATAATCAAAATCTTAAATATAGATATTAATTGAAAATGCTAATTTAAATAAATGATTGAATTTCGAGTTTTAAATGCTAGTTTCCGACTTTGTGGATTATAGAAAACTATATATATATATATATATACATCTTTTTTTATGGAAACAGAAATGTACCAGTATTTCGTTATGTCACAGTCATATGATTGTATTTTATATGTCTCTGATTGTGTAAAGAATACGTTTCTATTTTTTTAAAGCAGTATGTTAAAAACATTTTTTTACAGGTTTTTAAATATGTTCATTTAAAAAATAAGTACAAAATACGATTCAAAAAAATAAAACAAATTTCTAAATGTAAATAGGTAAAAAAGAAAATAATATTAGTTTTTTAAATAACAAATTTTTAAAAAATTATGTACTAAAGTTTAAAAACAAAACCGTTGACTATATTATGGCCTAAAGATGTCATCGTGTCAGTGGCAATTTTTCTAATTCACAGATTCGTATAAATTTACTTTTAATTAACAATGTTTGTTGGTGTCAATTCCCTCAAATTATTCTTAACGAAGATGACATGTATATTGCCAGAAATTTAGTGGTCTTTATGGTGATATTAGATATATTTATTGTATGCTTCTTAAAACATTCCATAATTAAAAAATATAGATTTGAACTGTATTTTTCGTTCTTTTTTTTTAAGAGATTTTCATTATTTCTGTTTATATTTTCTATTTTTAAGTGACAGCCATACTTCTTTTCGAGTATTGATCAAGTTAAAAGAATATTTAAATATTTATGTAATTCCAATATTCCATTTTACACAAGATCAGGAACGTATCCATAACATTCAGTGTTGCATGGGGATTCATGGTTTAGTATTTTTTTTCATCTTCATCAAAATAAATATTAAAAACTTAAATTTACAAAATAAAAAAAGAATGGGGAATGGAATCAAACTACAAACTAGAAGAGTTATGTTTTCTGATTTTTTTATAGACAAAAACACAAAATTCCTGAACAAAAATTAATTGTTCTGTAAACAACTTGGAGATTTAATGGTTTGTCTTATAAGGTGTTATCTTTTAAAACTTTTATTGCAATGCAAACATATTAATTTGCATATACAAACAAAAAGGGCTTCAGTTACTCTTATTGTTTCATGTATATTTCTTTATTATTTTTTTTTAAATTAACCACATTGAAAAATCTTTCATGTAGATACCGTTGAATGAATGAGTTTTGAAATATTTTCTAATTTATCCATTTTACATGTTTAAGATAAGAAATTATATCTGATTGAACACATATTATTTTTTCAATCTTGATAAAAGAATTTATAGCCAGTTTTTTTACGTAAATTCTAAACTAAAACAAGGTAATTTATATGTATCAAACAAATTTTTACGATTGCAAGACAAAAATAGGCTTCGATTAAAAGGATTGTTGTTGAAAACAAGGATTTTTATTAAAGGTCTAGTTTCAAAATCCCTATTTCAAATATTTGATTATAAAAAGGAAAGTTAGAGAAATCAAGGATTTATATACAGTATATCCTTGGAGAAATCATATAAAAAAGGTAATTCCTTTCAGGCCTGTTTGGAATTGGCGGAGAAAGCAGGGTTCTTATTTTGTGTAATTTTCTATAATTGTTCACCTCCCGCAGTATTCAACCCAGATCTTGAAACTTCACAGAAAGATTGCACACATATGAAATTTGTGTACCAGCTATTATTGATTTGTTTTAGAATTTTTTCCTCATTTTTCAAGATTGGAAGATTTTAGTAAAATTTACAAAAGACTACTATCATTTTGTTCATGTCAATATAATACTTCCGTGGTTCAATCCATTTCTCTGCAAAGTTCTCAACACAGATCCTTGAAACTTCACAGAAAGATTACACACGTTGGATATACAGCTTTTATTATGGAAGGTTAACAGTTATTTTCTAATTTTTCCACACTTGGGAACTTAGTAAAGTTTTTGGCAAAATCTATAGAAAGATTGTACTTTTTTTCTTTTTTTTTTATTAAACCCAGCTGTTTGGAACTTAACAGACATTTGCAAACTTATTGAGGTTGTGCACCTTCAACTTACTATGGCGTTGTTTTAAGACTTTCCCCCACTTTATATTTCCATTTATTGAAATGTTCGTGATATATTATTCTCAGTTGTTTTAAAAAACACTTTGCGCAACCCGGCCAGTTGAGTCTTCGATTTATTTAAAAAAAAAATATAAAATTTTCCATTGACAATAGTTAAAGTATATATTCAACGGATAAATCAAAAATGTGTTTTTATCACATTTGTGTTTAACTTATCATTTATTTCAAAATGTAGACTACTGCATGAATTTCAGCCATATTGGATTTTATGATTGTGTCTTGTACATTAAAGCTGTGACAGTTAGTCTCGAGTGTTTACAGTAACACAGATTTTAAAGGTATAAATTAACAGATTTACTGCCTCTAATTCAAATATTTACAATCATAAACATGTACTCTTAATACTCGAATAAAGAGAATGAAATTATGGTGCGTTTTAAAGGTGTAGTTTTATGAACGAAGCAGCAAAAAAAACTTGTTCCAAATGACATTAAACGAGTACAGAAAGTTTCTGTTATTTCATATACCATGTTCATTCTTGTTTAAGGTATTGGGAAAATTAACCATGATGAATAATTTGTGAAATTAAACCTACAATTATAGGTTTTTCATAATTGCGTATCCTCACCCTTTTCCACAATAGTGTGTGTAACCATAAGTACAGTGCATGGTGCACCAATATATGGATCGTGCAGATCGATACATGTTGTCCGAGTCGTTCATTGGTGTTTTGCATGATTTCATATTTCTGATATTTGGTTTTGATAGAATATTTCAAGAATACTAAATTTCGTAAAATTTCCTTTTGACTCGAGATCGAGAACCAAATTAATTGGTATTTTAAAGTTTAAACATTTGAAACTCTTTCAATAGACTATTTGTCAGTTTTGAATGTCCTTTCTATAATGATTCTTTTTATAAAAACCAAAAATTCACAAACAATTTATCAGAATAGATACATAAAACATTACTCCCCGTACAATCGACCCGTATCATTTCCTAAAACCCGACGGAAACGATCACGCACCCTGTATACTAGTACTTGAAAAGCGTGCTAAGAAGTCGGTACGTATCTATAAATTTAATTTCATTTACTTGCCATAATCACATGAATTTGAATCTTGAAAATTGCATACGCTATCTATGGATTAATTTTCTTTAGTATTGTCTTTTTTATTGATAGATAAGATATATAGAGCAACTGTATACCGCCATCTTGGATTGTAAAAATAGCAGTACACAATCGGTCTAGTTCTTTGCTTAAATCTGCAAGTTTTGAGACATTTATTGACAATTAAATGTGTAAGACTGTTTATCCAAATAAAGAAATATAAGTAATATATTGCAATATTTAGACTGTTTTAAAAAATACCACATGTTTGTTTTTGTTAAATTCAATTTTTCAACTTGGCCATATTAGGGGAGATAACACTGCCCTTCGACATGCAGGCTGTTGTTTCATTGTAAAATCTACATTTTGGGCAAAGTCTAAGAAAATAGACGTACACACTTAGACAAACATACCACAACGAAAAATAGCTTAACGTGGTTTATGGACCCAAGGAGTTTGGTCTGAACCTGTTTAATTTATGTCTTTTTTGTAAGCTTAACTCATTTCACCGAATATTCAAAAACATCCATAACGGTACTGATATACTATTGAATTCATTTAAAATTTATATCATGTAAATAAAGGGGAATTGGTTTTAGTACCTTGATAGTTTATTTTTCATAGTAGTTTTAGTATCCTTTGAAACAGCCATTAATTTTTTTAAAAGTTGAAGTCAAGGAAAAAGGAAATTATTATTATCTTTATTCAATTAATTTCAAACATTTTCGGGAATAAAATCTTGAAACTTGAAACTTCATGGATTTACGGCCGATTTTTTTTTTCTAGTTTTATAAATCTTGTCCCTCTATTGCTTTAAACTTCAGGTAGCAGTGTACACTTAGACGCTTTTAGTCGATTTTGACCTATAAATTTCCGCGAAAATCAATTTTGCTTTAAACAAATGACATGTTGTTCCTCGTATCCTAGCAACAATCTTAGACCAAGTGTTGTTTTGTAAAAAGTTTCATTATAAATAATCCAAGAGCTTGACAACTAACTGTTTAGAGGGATTACGCGAACTTTCTTCAACTTTAATATTGCAGTTGTTTTGTTTCTCAATTTAATATATTTTAGCTGAGTAGTTATTTTGAAACCGTTTCAAACAAATTTTCTATTCATTGTATAAGTTGTAAATTTACGGATAAACTTTGATGAATAACAATACAAAAGTTTAATATAAGAGATACAATGTTCATTCCGTCTCATGCCATTTTTTGTATTATTCACATAAGGACCGACACAAACCTACTGTACGTACCAATGACTCATATATATAGTAAAACAATTGTTTTGAAAGGCTATCGGCAACACAGATCCTAGTGTATATGCCGTAATGTAGCCGGTAATG